GGAGTGTAATGGCGTGATATCGGCTCACTATAACCTCTGCTTCATGAGTTCAAATGATTCTCCTGCCTCAGCCTCCTGAGTAGCTGGGATTACAGGCACGCGCCACTATGCCTGACTAATTTTTGTATTTTTGGTAGAGATGGGATTTTGCCATGTTGATCAAGCTGGTCTCAAACTCCTGACCTCAGGTGATCCACCTGCCTCTGCCTCCCAAAGTGTTGGGATTACAGGCGTGAGTCACTGTGCCCGGCGAGGAAAAGAATTATTAAACGCTATTGTTATTAAAGAAACCAAAGATTGTGATGCTTGGAAGGTGTGTCTACAACTTCAAGATTATGGACTTCTGGCCAAGCCAACCCATGGTGACATCATCAAGTTTCACCTCTGCTGGGGTCAAGGAGGATGAGATTTGAGAGTACAGTGAAATCATTAACAAGGCCATCTTGTCATGCTGAGGGTAACAGCTGTTTTCAGTGGTCCCTGGGAACTGGCTGGAGAGAGGTGGTCTTGTAAAAGCTCTGCTCTTAATGAGGGCACATTCCACTCCCATGTGTCTTCAAAATCGTTTTTTGGAATATATATTTTTTTCCCGTTGATACATAATAGAAGAACGTTTATGAACCTGCTGTTTGCTTTGTAATGTAAGAGAATGTAATGGCATCTATATTCAGTAAAAGTGTTTTGATGTGCATGTGTACTTTCTAAGGTGAAACGCATCTATGTATACAGACAGCCTTTAAATCACATCCTTCAGTATACTTTATATATGTTTTCATAATTTCCTTGCTGGTATAAATGTTTTGTATTTGAAAAAGTTATCTCTAGTGTATTACATAAAAGGCTTTACCTTATAAAGTCAAATCATTGTTATCATTGAATTTTAGGAAGAATGAATGGTTAAGCATACATAAAATACTAATATTAAGTAAACGTCATGTTGGCCAACATCAGGATGTATTCTATGGATGTCATTATTTTCAGTTAAGAATTAGTGTTTAAAATTCCTAAATTGTTTGAGTGCTTGATTATAATTTGTAAAAAAAAGTTTAACATTTCTTTGAATTTAAAATAAAGCTTATATTTAAAAAAAAAAAAAAAAGGATACAGTACATGGCCGGGTGCAGTGGTTCATGCCTGTAGTTCCAGCACTTTGGGAGGCCAAGGTGGGCAGATCACTTGAGGTCAGGAGTTTGAGACCAGCCTGGCCAACATGGAAAAATCCCCTCTCTACTAAAAATGCAAAAATTAGCCAGGCATGGTGGCACGCACTTGTAATCCCAGCTACATGGGAGGCTGAGACAGGAGAATCGCTTGAACCCGAGAGGCAGAGGTTGCAGTGAGCAGAGATCGTGCCACTGCACTCCAGCCTGGGAGACAGAGCAAAACTCTGTCTCAAAAAAGTTACAAACCATTTTCATCACCACAATGTTATCCCTTGTGCTACTTATTTTTAGTAATACCCACTCTCCTCCCATCCACCATCCCTAATCCCTGGCAACCACTAATCTGTTTTTCATTTCTAAAATTTTGTCTTTTCTACAATGCTGTAAAAATGAAATCTTACAGTATGTAACGTTTTAGGGGCTTATTTCACTCAGCATAATTCCATGGCGATTCATCCAAAATATTGATATTTGTTTATCAATAGTTCATTGTTGTTGTTGTTGTTGTTGAGACGGAGTCTCACTCGGTTGCCCAAGCTGGAGTGCAGTGTCTAAGCTCACTGCAACTCTTTGCCTCCTGGGTAGATAACATTTTAGGGGCTTATTTCACTCAGCATAATCTCTGGAGATTCATCCAAGACATTAATATTTGTGTATCAAGGCCGGGCATGGCGACTCATGCCTGTAATCCCAGCACTTTGGGAGGCTGAGGTGGGCGGATGACAAGATCAAGAGATTGAGACCATCCTGGCTAACATGGTGAAACCCCGTCTCTACTAAAAACTACAAAAAATTAGCCGGGCATGGTGGCGGGGACCTGTAGTCCCAGCTACTCAGGAGGCTGAGGCAGGAGAATGGCGTGAACCCGGGAGGCAGAGCTTGCAGTGAGCCGAGATGGTGCCACTGCACTCCAGCCTGGGCAACACAGCGAGACTCTGTCTCAAAAAAAAAAAAATTTTGTGTATCAATAGTTCATTCTTATTAGTGAGTAGTAATTCATGGTATGGATGTACCACAGTTTGACCATTCCCTTATTGTTGGACATATTGATTATTTTGAGCTTCTGGCTATTACAAGTAAAGCTGCTATGAACAATTACGTATAAGTTTCTGGATGGGCATAAATTTTAATTTCTCTGAAGTGTCATTGTTGAATTGTGTGCTCATTGCATGTTCAGTTTTATAAGAAACTACTAAACAGTTTTCCAAAGTGGCTGTAAGATTTTACCTTCCCAGCAGCATTTTACAAGATGTCCAATTTCTCTGCATCTTTGTCACCATTTCGTGTTGTCACTATGTTTTTAATTTTAGCTGTTGTAATAAGTGTGTAGTGATACCTCATCATGGTCTTAATTTGCATCTAGTGATGCAAATTAGTGTTGAACATCTTTTCATGTGCTTATTTGCTTATTTCCTCTTCAGTGAAATGTATGTTCATATATTTTGATCATTTTCCAATTGGATTATTTATTTGTTTTTTACTTTTGAGTTTTTGTTTGCTTGTTTGTTTTTGAGAGAGCTTCTTGCTCTGTTACCCAGGCTGGAGTGCAGTGGCATGATCTTGGCTCACTCCAATCTCCGCTTCCCAGGTTCAAGCGATTCTCATGCCTCAGCCTCCCACGTAGCTGGGATTACAGGCACGAACCATCATGCCTAATTTTTGTATTTTTAGTAGAGATGGGTTTTTGCCGTGTTGCTCAGGCTGGTCTCAAACTCCTGCCCTCAAGAAATCTGCCCTCCATCCACCTCGACCTTTCAAAGTGCTGGGATTACAAGCGTGAGCCATGGCCTACCATTGAGTTTTGAGAGTACTATACATATTCATTATACATTCTGGATGTATATGTGATTTGCAAACATATTCTCCCATTCCATACCGTTTTTTCCATCCTTTTAACAGGGTTTCTTGCAGAGCAGAAGTTTTAAATTGGATGAAATCTAATTTATTTTTTTCCTTATGGATTATGCTTTTCGAGCTGTTTACTATGCCCTAGATCTCAGACGTTTCTCCTATGTTTTCTTGTAAAAGTTTTAGTTTTAGTTTTATATTTTAGATTTAAATCTATGATCCACTTGAGTTTTTTTTTTTGTATAAAGGTATGAAGATTACGTCATTTTTAAAATTGGCTTATGGCTCTGCAACTTCTCTAGCACCATTTGTTAAGCAGACAATCCTTCCTTCTCTTTGTCTCTTTGTAAAAAATCAGTGTGGAGCTATTTCTAGGTTCTCTATTTTGTTCCAGTGATCTATGTGTCTATTCTCCCAATACTACACAGTCTTGATTTCTGTAGCTATATAAGAAATATTGAAATATGGTAGAGACATTCCTCCCACCTTACTCTTCTTTTTCAAAAAGTGTCTTACCTACATATATATTTTTTTGAGATGGAGTCTCACTTGTGTTGCCCAAGCTGGAGTGCAGTGGGGTAATCTCGCCTCACTGCAACCTCTGCCTCCCAGGTTCAAGCGATTCTCCTGCCTCAGCCTCCTGAGTAGCTGGAGTTTCAGTCGTGAGCCACCACACCCGGCTAATTTTTATATTTTTAGTTGAGACATGGTTTCTCCATGTTGGCCAGATTGGTCTTGAGCTCCTGACCTCAAGTGATCTGCCTGTCTTGGCCTCCCAAAGTGCTGGGATTATAGGTGTGAGTCTTAATGGTCTCCATTCGCACTCAATGATTTAAAAACAGACTCCCCTCTGCCCTTCCCTGCCCCACAACTGTTTCCCCTCTGCACTGTGCAGTGGTACCTGTGAGAAAGAACTGACCCATTCCCCAATCATCGTCCCCACCCCAGCACCCAGGCCCTTGGTTGGTGAGACCCTTGATGGGCAGTCTCATGCTTCTGTCCAGGGGACTTTCCCACCGTTGCTCCCCTGCATGGAGACTAAGTGGACTCTTCTATTCCCTGTCCATCACAGGGTCTACTGTGCACCCATCTTCCTCATTCCTCCACGTTCCCCAGATGATGATTTCATCTATGTCTCCTCCCACATACTTCTAAATAGACCGTCCCAGCCCTTGAACCCCAAAATCATGCAGAGAGCAAAGGCCAAGATGCCCAACCACCTGCTGCAGAATCCTGCTTCAGGAATGAAGTGTATAGTCTCTATCAAAATAAAAACTGGAGGCCAGGCACAGTGGTTCATGCCTGTAATCCCAGCTCTTTAGGAGGCCAAGGCGGGAGGATCTCTTGAGCCTAGGAGTTCGAGACCAGCCTGGGTAACATAGCGAGACTCTCTTGACAAAACCTAAAAAAGTTAGTGGGGTGTGGTGGTGGGTGCCTGTAGTCACAGCTACTTCGGAGGCTGAGGAGGGAGGATCGCTTGAGCCCAGCAGTTCAAGGCTGCACTGAGCTATGATCATGCCACTGCACTCCAGCCTGGATAGAGCAAGACCCCGTCTCTAGAAGAAAAAAGCAAACACCCAGCAACCGGAAACATCCTCCTCTAGAATGGTGGTCAGCAACATCTGCCTGCCTTGTTCCCTGATGTCTCTCCAGCACCTAGAACAGCGCTCAGCAGGAGTACGCACTCATTAGGGTTTTGTTGAATAAATGACTCCTTTGATGCAGCAATTCCACTTCTAAGAATCTCTCCTAAAGAAATATTCACACACGTGCACAGAGCTGTGTGTACAACAGTGAGAGGAGCAAACAACTGGGGAACGTTTGCAAATGTTTATTAACTGTCAGTGACTGATACATGGGAATCGGATAAGGGGAATGCATGCTGAACAGGAAACAGTGAGCGGGGCTTGACCAGGGCGCATGGCACTGGAGAAAAGCAGATGGGAGATGCTTCTACTGGTACTTAGTGTGTGTGTGTGCGTGAGTGTAGTGTGTGTGTAAATGCAGAGGAAAAAATCGGAAATTAAACACTCAGACCTGACCTCAGTAGTCACATCTGGGGAGAAAGGAGGGTAGTGCTGTTCTATGGAGAGAATACCTGACAATACTTGTTTTCTGAGGTAGATGCATGGATACCCGAACCGAAATATGCATTAAGTATGTCTTACTCATCAATGAAAACACTAGTATCTAACAGAATGGCATACTGCAAGAAAATACAACGGAAATGCTAACATTGAACTCTTGGCACACTAAGAAAAATGATGCTCAACTTTTCACTGTTGTGAACACTTGCTTTGACTTGCTATACACCTGATGACGAGGGGTCCACAGCCATGCCCATGTTCGTGAAAGGTCACCACGTTCTGCTTCTCATTGTGGGCATGTGTCATATCCCTGAGGCTGAGGCAAGAAGAGAGAAGGAAAGTAAGTGGCAGTGAGTTCCCACTGCCCAATAACTCAATCTCAACTCCTGACCTGCAGACCCTGCACACTCCGATTCTGCCCTACCTCAGGACCCACACAGGCCTTCCACGGTTCCTTGAAGTGAACCATCCGCACATGCCACAGTGACTTCCTCTCCTGGATTATCAATTACTAGGCTAGAGGAAGGTGTGGCCCGCATATCGGGGCTGACCTGGGGTTTGGGAATCCACAGCATCCTGGGTAGGGAGCATCCCTGGATGTACAGGCCAGGGAGTAAAGAGAGAATGCGAAATCGGCCGGATGCGGTGGATTATGCCTGTAATCCCAGCACTTTGGGAAGCCGAGGTGGGCAGATCACGAGGTCAGGAGACAGAGACCATCCTGGCTAATATGGGGAAACCACGTCTCTATTAAAAATACAAAAACATTTAGCCGGACATGGTGGCAGGCGCTGTAGTCCTAGCTATTGGGGAGGCTGAGGCAGAATAGCGTGAACCCCGGAGGTGGAGCTTGCAGTGAGCAGAGATCATGCCTGAGCGACAAAGTGAGACTCTGTCTCAAAAAAAAAAAAAAAAAAAAAGAAATACGAAAGAGCATGGGAAATTTATTCATTCAGCCTCAATGCTGTACCCTAGAAAATTATGAGAAGGGAATGATTTGGGGAACAAGTGACAAGATGGGATACCGGTACCGTAACAGAATAGCCCATCTGCAGGGATGTGGGGGATGAGCCGAAGGTTCACTTACGGAGTTACTCGTCGTCTTCCTCAGGGTCGCTGATCTCTTCATAAATCACCGGATGCTTTCTCTCACGCAGTCTGTGGGTCCAGGCATGTTTCTCCCTTTTGGGTCCTATGATGGAGAAGAGTTGGAAGATGAGGGTTGGGTAGGTTGAAGAGTGTTAGGCTCTGTTTTCTCAAAAACAGGAGATGCCTCCCCGCTCCCAAGTGCCCATGGGCCTTCTTTATCCAGTTTTTCACATTCTCTGGCTAGAGAGGCTGAGGCCTTAGACCCACACCAATACAGGTCAAATGCCCATTAAAGTTTTAACTTCTGGCTCCGTTCATTGTCAGGTTTAAATTCCCAACCTCTTTACTCACAGGAACGTTCATGGATACCTCCTTTCATTCAGCACGTATTTGTTAAGGGCACACAGGCATACCTTGTTTTATGGCACCTCATTTTTATAGTGCTTCGCAGATACTGCAATTTTTTTTTGAAATTCTCACCAATTTTATACTTTTTCATTATTATTATGTCTGTTATGGTGATCTGTCATCAGTGAGCATTAATGTTATTACTGCAATTGTTTTTGTTGTTCTTTAGTCTTTTAAAATAATTTTGTTTTTTATTTTTGTGGGTCCACAGTAGGTGTATATACTTATGGGGTACATGAGATGCTTTGATACAGGCATGCCATGCGTAATAATCACATCATGGAAAATAGGGTCTCCATGCCCTCCAACATTTATCCTTGTGTTGCAAACAATCCGTTTACACTCTTTTAAAGATTTTTTAAATGTACAATTAAGTTATTATTGACTATAATCACCCTCTTGTGTGTAATTGTTTTGGGGGTACCAGGAACTGCACCCATAGACAATGACAAACTTAATCGGCCAATGTTGCGTGTGTTCTGACTGCTCCACCGATGAGCTGTTCCCCATCTCTCCTCCTCTTCTTGGGCCTCCCTATTTTCTGAGACACAGCAACACTGAAATGAGGATTATTAACGACCCTACAATGGCTGTCAAATGTTCCAATGAAAGGAAGAGTCGCATGTCTCTCACTTTAAATCAGAAGCTAGAAATGGCTAAGCTTAGTGAGGAAGGCGTGCTGAAAGCCAAGATAGGCTGAAAGCTCTGCCTCTTGTACCAAACAGCCAAGCTGTGAATGCAAAGGAAAAGTTCTTGAAGGAAATTATAGTATATAATGCAAAGGAAACGTTCTTGAAGGAAATAATAGTATATACTGCAAAGGAAAAGTTCTTGAAGGAAATACTAATACTAATACTCCAGTGAACAGAAGAATAAGAAAGCAAAACAGCCTTACTGTTGAAATAGAGGAAGTTTGAGTGGTCAGGATAGAACTTGAAACCAGCCACAACATTCCCTTAAACCAAAGTCTAATTCAGAGCAAGACCAGAACTCTCTTCAAGTCCATGAAAGCTGAGAGAGGTGAAGAAGCTGCAGGAGAAACGTGTGAAGCTAGCAGAGGATGGTTCATGAGGTTTAAGGAAAGAAGCCGTCTCCATAACATAAAAGTGCAAGGTGAAGCAGCAAACCCTGATGGAGAAGCTGCAGCAACTTACCCAGAAGATCTAGCTAAGATCACTGATGGAGGTGGCTCCACTAAACAACTGATTTTCAATGTAGATAAACTAGCCTTCTATTGGAAGGAGATGCCATCTAGGACTTTCATAGCTAGAGTGGATTGACTCCAACTGTGAAAGTTCTACTGTGGGCAAAATGCTATCCAATAGCATCACATACTACAGAGAAATCCTTCAAGAAAGGGAGAGCTAACTGATGTGGCAAATTTCATTGTGTTATTTTAAGAAACTGCCACAGCCACTCCACCCTTCAGCAACCACCACTTTGATCAGCCAGCAGCCATCAACACCGAGGCAAGACCCTCCACCAGCAAAAAGAGTGTGACTCACTGAAGGCTCAGAAGATTGTTAGCATTTTTTAATCAATGAATTATTTTAAAATTAAGGTATGTACATTTTTAGACATAATGCTATTGCACAATTAGTAGACTGCAGTATAGTGTAAATGTAATGTTTTTATGCACTGCGAAACCAAAAAGGCAATGTGTGTGACTCACTTGATTGCAGTGGTCTGGAACCGAACTGACAATATCTCTGAAGTACACCTATATTGGGTATCAGGCATTGAGCTGAGTAAGATATGATCCCAGGTTATCACAGATAGAATTGCTTGAGCACCTTTTATGTCATCAGGCCTTCTAGATTAAATTTAATGCCTCCCAACAATTTATGAACTATGATTCTGTATTTCCATCTTATGGACTAGGAATCTGGAGCTGGAGCTGAGAAATTTGGAAGAGTTGCTCCAAGTCTTGTTTTTTTTTTTTTTTTTTTTTTTAATTACACTTTAAATTCTAGGGTACATGTGCACAACGTGGAAGTTTGTTACATATATATACACGTGCCATGTTGGTGTGCTGCACCCATTAACTCGTCTTTTACATTAGGTGTATCTCCTAATGCTATCCTTCCCCCAGCCCCCCATCCCATGACAGGCACCAGTGTGCGATGTTCCCCACCCTGTGCCCAAGTGTTCTCATTGTTCAATTCCCACCTATGAGTGAGAACATGTGGTGTTGGGTTTTCTGTCCTTGTGATAGTTTGCTCAGAATGATGGTTTCCAGCTTCATCCATGTCCCTACAAGGGACATGAACTTATCCTTTTTATGGCTGCATAGTATTCCATGGTGTATATGTGCCACATTTTCTTAATCCAGTCTGTCATTGATGGACATTTGGGTTGGTTCCAAGTCTTTGCTATTGTGAATAGTGC